GTTCTGGCTCTGTCCAGGCTTTCGGGAATCGTAAGTGGCCTCTACAAATCGCTCCCGGATCTCCTGACGTCCATTATAGCTAGTCCGCGTGATTTCAGAGTGGTCTTACGCACTACTTGTGATTACAGCATAGACTGAGACAATGCCCAGATTTCCCAGTTATCAACGAGGAGCAGGGCTGTGTTTCACTGGGACAAGGGAGCCCGCTCCTGCACCCTGACTTGGCATTGAACAGACGAAGCCTCAACCGCGAATGAATCCATATCAGAGCTTGTAGAAAGGACGCCCGTTCTGTGTTCGTCGTAGAGTCGCGGCGACGCAGCGCATGGCTCAGGTACTAGGGCTAATAGGGCGCCGTCAAGGCGTGAAGAGGTTTCCATGTAGGTTGAGACCGTTGAAACAAAGCAAATTACAGCGCACCACAGCAATAACACCGCAAGTTGGTGATCACTCAAAGTCCCCGTCTTTTCATAACGCCAATACCTTAGGATCTGACCCTACGCATGCGTGTTTAAGTGCTCAGCCCCCAGTTTTCATTCTAAAAATTGCCAATTGATTCCCTTCTTGCCCTGTAGTTTCAATCGTCGAGCCTCCTCCCTATTACCGTCTACGTGCTCCCAGAATTCTGTCGCTTTCCTTCTCCTCATATACTCCGCGTAATTCAGTCACTCCAGCGGAGTTTATCGTCGCATGTAGGCATGCAACACCTACAACCTTGTCAATCTTTCTGCTGGAACTGCCCAGGACCCCCCTTTCAGGCTTGAAACCGATTGCTAGAACGTTTGCCGCACCGATAAAGATCGAGATGGAATTTACGATGCTGTTGGCGGAACGACTTCCTCACACAGTCCTGACATCGGTTCCCGCCTCGGTTTCTTGTACGCATCCAATACCTTTCTTGTCAGGGTCCTAATAATTCTTATCGCTAGATGTTCACTGTAGGGAACACCGACATTCAGCCAGGAGCGGCAGCGAAAATTCATGGTCACAGATCTGCAAGGTGTAGAATGGGCTTTCGCGTCAGTTGCACGTAACTCGCGCCAGCAACCAGAGACGAAAATGCAATAATAAGCGAGACATCTCAGGCTGGGCATGTCTGTTGATTGTCAGCGTACTTACAACGGTTGGTCGGTACACCCTCGATATTGCAAATGTTTTCATGGATCGGTTGATACGCCAGCCTTCTCTGTGCTCGCTTAGTATTCTTATCCAGCGTCTTTGTTCCTTTTAGCTCGTAATTTGTCTATATCCATTTCTTCCGAGCTTTTTGAAGATTTACTAACGCTGAGAGGTATGCTGTAGGGGCTGTCGGATTGGCCACTTGTAGCAACATCGGTTTGGGGCATCGAGTTGAGAGCAAGAACAAAATGAGATGATGTGCATTAAGTGCAGTGAATACAAATCGAAGACTGTTGGACCACATAAGCATCGACTAATATCCATTTTCTTTATTTAAACAATCCACAGGCCCAAAGATAAGGAATGGAAACGACTGTAAAAATATTACTGATCCTATGTCTTGAGCGAAGTGAGCAAACGATCCGCCAGGATCGCATGGACAGCTGGTGTCAGGTGCAGATCATCCTCCCAGATAGCGCCTCCCTCGTCAGCTGGGTCGTCTTCGGTAAAGTCGTACTCGAGTGGATCGTCAAGCACATCCGTGAGTACCTTATGCGAGGAGAAGACGAGCACCGTCGCCTGCGGGCTGCTCGTTGCGAATTCTGATGCACGCGTACGCAGAAGGTCGTTCCATGTCTCAACGCGATTCTGCACCTCGTCTGACGAGTCGACGGCTACATGACAGATCAGTAACCCAGGATGACTGTTGAGGATTAGGCTTGTACCGCTGGGCGAACGGTCAATTGGAGGGACATCCACCAGCACGAAATTCCGAGCGCCCGCCTTGACATATAGATCGTGAACAGCGTCAAAGAGTACTTCGACTATGGGTTCGAGCTCTTCGGATGAGATCCTGCCGCAGTCGTTGATACCCAGAAACAACACTGAAAGCATTAATTTGTCAGCCTGAGAATATTGGAGTGGTTGGGAGGTGCAGAACCGTATATAGTTTCGTTCGGGTCGAGGATGGGAATAGGGTTGGCCGGCGATTTCTTGGGAAAACACGCGAAGAATCTCGATAATTGGCCCAAGAGGTCGTCTTCCATGGTCGCTGAAGGAAAGGAAAAGTTGTGTAGACGAATGGAGGAATCTTTCAGCAGGTAGTCGACCTAAACCTTGTTGGACGAGCAGATTGTATGGAACACTGATTCACGGGCCCAGACTGCAGATTTCTCTTCCAAGTTTGGTTTGCTGTACGAGTCTCCGCTATGGTCGTGGAAAATGAGTGATGACGGATAGAATGTTGGAAAGACCGACAAAACGACAATGGTATCCGCCGAGTTTATCCCGCACCAGTGATGCCCTCTATATGCAACAGGGAGATCCACTGGAGGTCTGTTGGTTAAGGGCTGGCGAGGCTGACTGGAGACGGCGTACGCGTGGAGGTCACCAAACTCTCGTTATTCCTGTCTCGCTTCTTTGGTCGTTGTTCCGTGTCAGTATCGTCGGCATGAGAGTTCTCTATCGAGGCGGAGCCACTGCCGGAACGCTTCCTCTTGCTCGAAGAATTCATCGTCGGCGCAGGGGACATCACTTGAACACTCTTTGGAAAGTGAAAGACACGGGTGGTCGCAAGAGCACGAGGAACCCGGCAGGCAGTTATACGGCAATGACTGCTAGGCTCGTGACTAAAAGACGAACCGAGCCTGCCCAATGGGGCAGGGAAGAACTTGAAGTGCTTTAAGTTCAACGTTCATATTAAATGTTGGTGCGCAATTAATATCGATAATTTCTCTCACCGGTAACACAACAAGTATGCTTACTAGAAGTTAGGAGGTGTTTTACTTATCTCATACTGTGCACATGGTCATTCACATTCAGTACTTGACGCCTAGGCTTTAACAGCCACGATTCTGCGACAGGTCATCGATGATATATCATCCTCTACGGACTGCGCGTTGATATTGTCACGATAAGCCGGGATCTGCTATACCGATGACTTAAAATATTGACAAAGCAAGCCTGAGCAGAAGAATCCAGATCGTCCACGCGATTCCCTGTGTCGTCCTGTATACACCGGTACTCATCGTCGACGGTGAACAAACGAGCGGCGAGGAGCAGGATCCCGAGACGCCCTTGACATCGAGAATGTCAATCCCACCAGCTCAACAACTGTTCCGATCCAGGCTCCGAAGCCCACGTCGTCGACATCGAGGACTACTGAGGTGCAGAACATACTGACAGCATGATGTTCCGAGTCCGTTGTAGAACTGCCAGGATTGAGTGATAGAGGCGCTCGTCGCTCCTCTCGAAAAAGAGTCACTGGAGACGAGTATAATGGCTTATCTCGGTTTGTTGTATCTATAATATTATTGACAATTTTTCATTGGCAATGACGTTGCTGTCTGTCACAGTATATTCAGCAGGGGACAACAAGATAAGCAAAACTCGCCAGGTACCAGTTCGCTCAAGAAGTCGATCTACTGCCACGTCACGCTCGCAACCAAGGACACTCTCAGGTAGATGATCCCACCAATCGCTTGGGTCAGTGATGGCTCGTGTATTTACCCCTTCAAAAAGCTCCCAATATTCGGGATAAAGACCTCCCGGCTCCCAATCGATAATACCGGAGACGGTAGTTATTCCGTCAGGCCCATCGACGACTACGATATTGCGAGGATGAAAGTTTCCATGCGTGAGGACAATGCGATGGTCATCCCTCATCAGCCAGTTCCTGTATCCTTACGACGCACGAGAGGAGGGCGAGGTAAGGAGGAAGTCGCTGAAGTCAGTCTTGTTGTATATGGAGCTCGAGCTGGTCCGAGTGCTCATCCGAACACCCTTGCATAAACGCTGCCCACAAGGCGAGCCAAGGGGTGCTCCGTGTGGTACTTAGCAAAAGTTGCTGAATGTGGTCCAAGGTCGTCCGGATACTCTTCTTTACTTCTTCAGAGAGTGTCGGCCAGCGTTGCTCGAGGGTAGTACCGCGGATGCGGGTCATAAACATATATGAAGTTGACCCGATAATGACTAGTCCCAGAGCTCCGGGGGGGGGGGGGGCTGGAACACTGGGAACTTATTCTGCCAGGAACTTCAGGAATCCACTCTTGTCGTGGTCAAGGTCTTTGCCGATTTTGACAACCACATCGTCGCTGATTTGGACGACAGTGCGTCTGTTACCTTCCCATATGGGCGTCCCTTGCTCTAGGAGGCTACCAGTGACAATTCCTCTTCATAGCCAATGCTGGCAGCGATAACAATCATAGATGTACAGGATACAGGCCTATGTTATCTTTATCCTAGAATGCATTCCAACGAATTGAAACGTTCTTTATTTAGAGATCATCATCAAAATTCAAAATACCCCTTTTTTCGCACTTTGGAAGCCTACTTCTGAGGACATGTAGTACAGCTCCAAGTCGTGCCTCATCCGCCCTGAATGTGATCTCTTCCAAGCCCGAGAACCGATGTAAGAGCTGGTCAATGGTGGCAAAATCATGCGAGTTTGGCCGTTGCTCTGATTTTGGAACCGGCGACCACGGTGACGGGGGTGAGATATCAAAGGTCAACCTTTTCATACATGCTATCGGAAGCGATAGAAGGAGCTTTGAGAGCTGGATCAGCAAATGGTGAAATCTATGTTGGGTCGTGTCATAGAACCAAATTCCCCTCGTAATGTGGAGAGCTTCTAGACAAGTGCATCCGCTAAGGGCCTCGAACTTAGTAGAGAAAAGATCTTGTAGAATTTAACATGAGTACTACAAGGATGTAGATCGTTTTAGTGAAAGAGTTCGCACCTATCGCCTTTTCGGTCCGAAATCCCAAAACGATATGCTTCAGTGTCGCACCAGAACCATGGAGATACGACGACAATGCCATTATCTCATCACGGAACTCGAGGGATCCAAGCAACAAGGTTTGCAGATTTGAGTGACCACTGACATGGAGTCAACTGTACAAGGCACTCCTCGCATCTGAGTAACAGCTACTAACGGTGTTATCATTCCAGATGACCCGCAGCGTCGCTGGGGGTGGAGGTGGGGAGCTATCAGGAGCCAAAGTCTCTGCATGCATATCTGTCATATCCCCCTGCCTGCAAAAACAAAGGTTGGATATGTCACAGCAATGGACATCGTAGGAAAGACTTTCGAGTTTGGAGAAGTACGATAGGATATAGGGGAGGTCATTGAAGGTAGAACAGATAATGTTGTGGAGCATCAGCTGTGTGATATGAGAAGTGAAACCAGGTGAGTCGATAATGTAGCGTATCGAGGTGGTGTTAATGGATAGAAGAGAAAGATCTATTACGTTCGTGAAGCGGTTGAAGTACTGAGCGAGAGGCTGCAACCAATCCAGCGGAATTCCCTTCGAACTTCCAATACCACCCTGCTCATTGACAGTGATTTTGCGCACATGTTTGAATAGTGTACAAACAGAGCTGTCGAGCACTGTAACCTTGTTTCTATATGACCTCCATAGTACTTCATAACTGAAGCATTCAAAAAGATGGAATCTAGTCGCAGGAATCCAGGCTCTGCAGACTAGACTGCATGATTTGAGAGCTTTATGATCATGGTGCAAGAAGTCGATGATTCTATCGCACAACTCGGAAGGAAATCTTGGGCCCTTTATCTGTTCGTATGTCAACGTGAATACCCTGAGAAAGCGACAACTTCGAACTCACCTTGTTGATTTCGTTCCACAGATCGCTATTCTCCGCACGTAGGTCTTCATTCTCCTTCTCCAGGCTCTGAATACGACTCTTGATGCGTTCGATTTCAGTTGACTGCACCTCTTGTTGTTGCTTTAAGGACGATACGAGCGTCCCCAAGCTACTCAATGTAACTTGAGCTGCCGGCGCTCGTACATACGAATTTCCTCCTGTTACGAATCAGCTACATAGCAAGGATGATAGAGAATGCACTACCATATGCTCTTCCTGACATCGTTAGGCCACAGATTGCAAGGTATACGCAGAGTACGTGGAAGAGCTTGAGAAAGCGCTGGTCAAGAAACCCTCAGTTGATCCAATCATCACGAGACTACGAGACGGTGGATGCCGTTTGGAGAAATCCCACGAATAATTTGAGAACACCCTGGGATATACTACACGAGCAGGGAAGGGAGGAGTTGTTATTCTGGTCAACGTCTCTGAGAAGGAAACGAACCAGAATCTGTAACCGCGGGTATTATCTATACATCGTAGTAACACACGTCGCTACGGGACTGAACACAATCCTCGGGGCTGAGAATTCCCGCTAGAGACCAACGAATATACCGTAGAAGAACAGCAGAGAGAGCACTGAGATCAAGGTAGGAAGTACACCGAGAGTTCGGACTGATCTATTTGGTGTCTCGAATTGCAGCGACCCATCTTTAGATTGACTCTGGATCAAGACGAAAGTTATCTGATTCGATTGCAGTGACGGATTCAAGACCGGTGCATTTGTGATTTTCGCTTGAGCTCAAGCGGCAAAGCTTCAAGACAACGCGGGGCCCATCGTTCAAGTAGCACTTCATTGTAACAAAAACGTCCTCTCGATATACCTTAATATAAACTTACAGTCCAAAAGATTATTATCATGACACGGTCACCATGCCAAGCTCTACATCCTCCGATTCGACCTGACGGCTGCTCTATCCCGTCTGGTCAGCTACTCCTTCATCAAAGGGAAAAAGGAAAAAGTGACCCGAACCTCAAGGCGTCCCGGCGGAGATACAACGTATGATGGCTTCCGAGAGACAAGAGGACGACTGTTCGTCCAATGGTACATTAAGTATATCGTGGACTCCAAAAGATAACGCGTAAACAATACACGTCGGAAGCGACAACGGCGGCATAGGAAGTTGCGCAGGAATATTATTATGTTGTTTCGTTACGGGCTCTAACTCCTCCCCCTCCTTGGTATCTAGAGAGAGTAGAATTAAGTCTAGTAGCCAGAAAGAGAATTGCCGGAGACTTACCTTTCAGCCGTTTCTTAAGACGTTCCTCTACGTTGTTGCGCATAGATGGATAGGTAGTGCCTTGTGTAGCAACTTCTCGAGGTCTGTCGTAGGGTCATCTTTGAGCGCGTTCGATAATAGATGCAGGATAGAGTTATTGAGATTGCCGTAGCCACGGTCTGTCATGTGTTCATAGTAATAGTGGAACCCAGATTTCACGTTCGAAGTTCTGCAAATGCCTTATGCTTCGTATCCTCTGATATATCAAGCAGTTCTACCGGAACACCCGAGTGTCTAATAGGTATAGAAGCGAGGGAGAGAAGGGCGAGATTAGATGCACTTGGCGAACATTTATACACTTTCAGGAAATGTCTTCACATAAATATAGTGCAAATTTGATCATATGGACGGATTTCAGCTGTAATCGATAGCAGGATATCCCTAAGTGAGTCCTCAGTAAGCATCCCCAATTCATAAAAGTATATCGGAACATACGGGACGTGCGAAGGTCCACGTATGAAGCGTAAGCCAGACACGCGAATAGGCAACCTCCATGTAAACGAACATGTACAACCACCGACGCTTGTACACGTTCAGAGCATGTGGGTCTGAGAATTCCAGGTATCGATCTTGGAGGGACGCGATCAACTCCGGCGTCCAGTTTTCTTGAAGGCGCCTGACGAACCGTAAATGCCGCATCAAACAATATGAATCACTTAACAGACCTGGCCCATTCACGTAGGCATCGACAGTAGTCTACAACCAGATATTCAGACAGGAATTGAATCCACAGCATTTCACGACTCACGCGGAGCATAATCTTCGACACTCTCAAGGGAGAACCGTCCACGGAGCACTGTATGAAATTGTTGGGCTAGCCACGTAGCACTTGGGGGAATTGTGTGCGGCCAATGATATTTTCGGATGAAATCATCGCCCCTTGTGGTGCAGATGAGCAAGAGATATCCCAATACGAAATCACAATAAAATAGACATTGCTTACTGGTATGGCGTGAACGTAGTATCAGGGTAACACGTCGCCGAAAGGACCACAGCAGAGTTTCGATCTTTCAATGCCCAGTCGATAATTTTGATATACGTTGACATGTATTCGATCCCGACAGCCTACAGATTGACATCAGTGTACAATCATCTACACATGGGAAGAAACACACCTCGAGCATCTCCAGACTAACGCACGCATCGAACGCCTTTTCGAAACTCGGAGGCATGTTTCTATAGTCCATAAGGTGTATCCGAATTTGGGACTCAAATCCTGCCTTTCTGATCCGTTCCTCTGCCAGGGTTTTTTGCCCGACCGACAGCGTCAGGGAGTCAACAGTGCAACCCATTTCTGCTGCCTAGAACATACAACAAAGTGAATCGGGAGATGATAAGCACACGAGAAGCGAGGCCTACCGCGATCGCAAGACTGCCCCATCCACTCCCTATCTCCAACAGTCGGTGACCAGGCCGAAGCCTCGCCTTCTTCAAAATGTGACGAATCTTGCGTTCCTGGGCACGTTCAAGATCTCCATACGCTCTTCGTCCGGTCAGATCACCCCGAACACCGCCATCTTTGTCTCCCCAGATGGGACACGAATATTGCATCTCCTCACTGAGGAACGCCTGTCTTTCGTTTAATAATGGGAAGTATCGAGAATCATTGTGCTCACCTTATAGAGCTCGTTCGATGCATCGTAACCTGCCACCTGGAGAAGGGTGACTTAGTTCGTGTTGTGCTGATGATACGGGGAAAGTCGTACATTGAAGATTGATTGACGGAAGCCATGACTGAGGAAACGGTGAATGATGACATCTAGAATGGATTTAAGCTTGTAGGTCAAGGACCATACTGTGCTCAGATGAGGATAATTGTCGACGTAGATCTAGTATGAACATAAATTGCAGTCCACGGGGAGATACGCATCGACTCACATTCAAAACGTCCTTCATGGACGGAGAGCTTATCTCGCCGTTCATATAAGCTTCGGAAACTAAAATGTGTGGTGAGCACGCGTGAAATGTCAAGGGATAGGGACACGAACATCCGACATCATATGAAAGGTATACACGAACCCAGAAGCTTTCGTCGTGAACGAAGAGAAGTCCTTGCCGGTCTGAGGAAGCCTGGTTATATGTACCGAATTTCATTTCAGTGCCGTTGCATTCTACAATTTCTATGAACCCATCTTTAGCCCCCTTGTCGAGAACTGCAGTTATAGTTGACCGGGCTAGTGAATGGAGCAGTCAGCACAAGGTTAATAAGACGTACATCCGACCAGCACACCAAAAGTGACCAACGTAGGCCAGAATTGTCCTTCCTTGACAGCAGAAAAGGACGGAATGGAAAGTGCGGCATACGATCTAGAGTAAGCCATTGTTGGCACAAAGTCAGAGGGCAGATAGACGGTGAGTATAGATACGTTTATGACTCGGAGCGCCTAGTTGTCGTCCACGCTCCCTAGATTATTCAATGGAAGTTCTCAGGATATACAAAAGAAGTCGTGGATCTCGGTTAGGGCCGGTCGTATGTACCTAGGCCTGCTAGTGAACTATCGTACTTATGGTGGTACCGTTTTGAATGGACATTTATACAACCAAAAAAATTCAAAAGGGCGTGTTTTACAGGTCTAGCTAGCTCAAAAACAAAATTTTAGAAAGATCACGGTAATCAAGTCGGAGAAGGTATCTAGGTAAAAGTCAAAAAAGAGCATATAGGTACTCCGACCGACTGAAGCAATTTGGGTTACAAAACAGGATACGAGCTGTATGAATTTACAAATTAGATGTCCGGGAAGTCAGATTAGTGGTCCGATGCTAACTGATTAGTGGTCTATTCCGTTAGGCTTGAGTGACAGCGGGGGCACAGGAGGAACTGAGTTGTCTTCCGACACAGACGCGTCGTCGTCGCCCTCAACATTGTCGTCGTCCTCCTCAGCCATAAGCTTTGCAGCGCGCTGTACGATACGTAAAAATACTTTGAGAAGGACCTCGGTCATCAAAGTGAAACCTTACCTTCATAGCTTCTGCTTCATTCGAGTAATGCCGTCCTCTAGCACGTACAAAAGCTGCATGCTTTGCAGCGGCTGGCAAAATATTCTTCAGCTCAAAGACTCAGATCACTAAAAGAAAACTCACTCTCTTCGTCCATCTCTTCGTCTAGCTCAACCTCGCTTCCCGGATCTCTTCCGCGTCCATCTTCACGAATTCCTGACCGCGCTTCATCGGACAGATTGAAGCTCGTACTACGGCTGGAAGCCGTACTCACCGATCGTCCAGATGAAGGCTTGCCAGTGCTAGAGAACGATGTTCGACGCGAGGACGGCCCAGAAGTGTCCGCACCAGTTGGCGACACCGAACGAGCGGGCGATACTGAAATGTATCGGCCATTCAAGTCAAGATCAGGGATGTCTTTGTACAGCATTAGAATCGACGAGGAATGGATACTACACACGCACCTCCTTCAATCTCGTCGGTCTCTGCATTGTATCGAACATATGGAGTCTTGGGTTCCGTTATCTTCATGAGACTATCTTTCTGTATCTCTGTCAGAGCAATGTTGGCTTCATCCCATTGTAGGCTGCTACAGAAAGAGGAACCACGTTATATATCGACTCGGCATCTCCTAACTGTGTATACTCACTGCTCCTTCGCTCCCGGTTGCGGCGGTGCATTCTTCAGGATACCTTTAGGCTTGGGGTTCGACGCAGATCGCGGCAGTGGTGCGAGGTGAGGAGGATCTTCAATAATTTCAGCGGACATTGGGACAATGGCAAAGGTACGATGATGATGGTGGTGTCCAACAAGAGGAGCCTTCGAGAACTTTGGCGCACCACGGTTCCCAAATAGGAAATCTATCTGTAGTCTAAAATTACATTCCCACCTACTTGCTATCGTATATTCTCCTACATACCCAAACCCATGAGCCCTCCAGTTAAACGTGATACTACATTATCAGGCTCCTGTCTTGCCATCTCTATCACGCTCAGCAGCTTCTTAATCCCGATATGGTGCCGTGACGATGCCTCGTCCTTGGCCGTCAATGCAAATCCGGCGTCCCCGAGCATATGAATGGCTTCCCTCATTTCCCCTTCCGAGTTAAACAGCTCGACTTCTTGCAGCACACGTTCCAGTGACTCGAGGTTCGAAATTGGTGGCACTCGCAGCTCAGAATCAAATGTATCTGTAAGGCCAAGCTCTGTCAGGACCGGTCGTAATGACGTGGTTGCAATCACAAGGAGGCGACGACCCTAAGGGGTTGGAATAGCGTAAGCTTTCGCTTAGAACCTTCATTATCGATGAACCGTACCTTGGGGGGTCTGCGAGCCAAAAGAACGAGTAACGCTTGTAAAACTGTGTTGGAGAATCGGGGGCCTATCGGTGTCCAGTCTGATCCAGGTCGTTAGGTATGAATTACGGCAACCAAAACAGGACATAAACGCACCGAGTAGACGTTCGAGATTGTCAACAACAATGACGCTCAGTGGGCTTTTGTAACTGTCTGCGAAGACCTTCTGTATCGCTGTCACCTTCTGGTTCTCACCGAACCCTACCATGTTGTCTGGCGACACCAATTTGATGAAAGGGAATTGAGAGGCTTGCGCAATCGATGCTCCCAAAGCCGTCTTCCCGGACCCTGGTGGGCCATGGAGCAAAACGCTAACCAGAGGCGTTCTTGTAGACGTTTGTACTTGGTTCACAAATAGTTGTCCTGTACTGAGTATTTCCTGCGAAGGTCTGTCAATCATTGAGAAAACACGACGTTCCGAAAAGTGCATACATTGATGATGGAGTCAAAGTGGATGATACCGTTCTGGATAACTTGCTGTAACTCTTCTTCGGACACACCGAATGCGGGATGCACTTCTTCTAGGGCGTTGAAAAAATCGCTTCTGTTGACGCGAAGATTTTCTACATCGTCGGATATACCTGCCATAGTGCCGACCTGGAATATCATTAACGAATATCAAGAAAATTTCTATCAATCAGACATACCTTGACATGCCTATTGAATGCGAAACTGGTTGCACTCTTGATGAGACCATTAATTTCAGCACCAGAAAAGTTCTTCGTCATGGATGCGAGCTCCGCGAGGTCGACGTCATGATCCATAACACCATTTGTGCGCATCTTGCTCGTATGGATGGAGAGGATCTGGAGCCGCCCATGTTCATCGGGTAGAGAAATCTCCATATGGACTTCGAGACGACCAGGACGGAGAAGAGCTTCATCGATCATGTCGAGACGGTTGGTCATACCAATGATTAGAATGTTGTTCAGCTTGTCAACACCATCCATCTACGACAACGTGAATACCACAAATATATGGGCGAAAGCGGGGGACTGACCTTCGAAAGAAGCTGGTTGACGACGCTGTCTCCAACACCTGTACCATTATTTGTTGACCCACGTTGCTTGAAGATGGCATCCAACTCGTCGAAGATGATAATATGTAAACCACTGTCGTCGCCTTTTTCTTTATACTATGCAACCAACTTAGTTCGGAGCAACAAAACAAAGATCAAACACTACCTCTTTTTCGGCATCAGCGAAGAGTTTTCGTATATTCTCTTCTGAGGCACCGACGTATTTGTTCAAAATCTCTGGTCCATTGACGATCTTTGGCTCCCGAGCATTCAGCATTTTACCGATTTGGCGAGCGATGAGGGTCTTTCCCGTTCCTGGTGGACCGTGAAGCAGGATACCTTTAACATGCTCGATACCCAATTTCTCAACCAATGCTGGAGGAAAGACTCGAGATGCGAACGCTCGACGGAAAATATCGCTGAATTCCGTATCCAAGCCTCCAATCCCCATGTCTTCGAACTTGAAATTGGGAGCAAGGATCGCGTTCGGCCGCGCCCTACAGTGGTCGGTAAAGAATACGTGTTAATGTATGAAAAGGATTCTCACTTCTTTGCACTGGATCTGATTTTAATGGCGCTATCAGCGGCCTTCATGATAGTCACGTCGGTCTTGTCCATGATTATTCCCATGAATTGGTGATTCACAGAACGTTGACCGGGAGCCCCACCACGACGTTGTTCGTCGGCGATGTCAAGAACAGACACGCCTTTGATTGTCCCTTTGATGTTCTGGCCGTGGTACTCGAACACTATTATCTCGTCCGTGGACATGATAATGCCATTAAACGCTTTCACGATGTGATGAGCCATGTCATCAGCAGAAAACTGCTCTGCAATTTCATGCCGAGGTTTGAGAAATCCGACTTCGATGTCAATCGACTGGAGGAAGGAAGGTGCCGATGGGTGGGGAGGAGATGGCAAGGGCTCGATGCTAACATGATCGCCTTGAACGGAAAGACCTATCCACTGTCGTTGAACTTGAGATGCACCGATACATCCTGGCTGGAGCTTTCCAGTGTTATCATGTCTGACATCATGCATATAGTCAATTTCTATGGATTGAACGTATAATACTCACTTTACAGTCAATGCGAACCCGCCTTTTACCAGAACATGTTGACCGTTGGTGAAGTCAGATGGATGGACGGCGAGACAATTGGACAATGCAAAGGCATCACTCGGAGATGAAACAACTGCATAGCTACAAGAATTATGAGGCGTAAGTCATGCTATTCAATCACTGCGCACCTTCCACTGGAACGCGGCGGTGCAGGCTTCCTGTCGTACGCCCCGCGTTTTTCGAACAAAGCACTCGAAGGATCATTGTAACCGTACGGAGGAACGTTGTTCTGCATTGGTTGAGAAGGAGGAGGCTGCCTCGTGGCACCCCTTGAAGGAGACGAGCGGTAATCCGGTACACGATTATAAGCACCGGGAGGAGGCGGTGGAGGCGTATTATTCGAAGACCGGCCAAAGAAGCTCATTATGGTATCACGATTGGTCTTGAATATATATTCGCGCGTCTGTAAGCGTCCGGTCGTCAAGATATCGTGGTAGTTAGAGATCAAGAGGGCGGTGGATACGTGTAACTGGTGAGGCTGAGAGGGGCTGTGATCGAGATGGAAGTTTGTCTCTGCTTGGCAAACGGCTGAGATAAGCTCGATCATAGAGGCGGCCGTGACGGGCAATATTGCCGCCTCCAGCAGGCTTGACTTTACCTCTTTTTTGCAATGTCTGCCAACGAAACAGTGCTCACACCGGTCTCAACTGGCGAAGCAGTAAAAAACATCCTTGACGACTACCCAGATGTTGATGGCCGCTCTTGTCAACTCTTGGGCCCGACCGCGCTTGTTGGTGATTTCACCCATAGGAACAGCTCCATCTTACAGTGGTTCGTAGATTGTGCAAGGCTTGATGGGGATTCTGGTGATTCTGTCGCTGGTGTACAAACGTCATAGAGAGAAACCGAAACGTCCTTGGCGAATCTGGTGCGTGCAGTTGACTGGATCTATCAAATTTTGAATTAACGTCAACTGAGAACAGGTTATTCGATGTTTCCAAGCAAATTGTGGGACAAATGTTCGTCCACGGAGTAAACGTCTTCGTATCCGATGCTGTTTCTCACAATTCAGACGAGAACGCGTGTGTCTTCTATTTCTTCAACATCCTAATTGATACGACCCTTGGTATTTGCTATAATCTATTTTTTTCTCTGTATCTCACTCACTTGTCGTATAGGTGTCGGTCTACTCTACATCATTCTTCGCGTTCTGACTCACTTGTTCGTTGAGAACTTTCATCTAAAAGGGTTCGAGTCTG